ATAATACTTGACACCTACTTAGGTACTTAGGATTAGAAGGAAAACGAAGAATAGTCTTAATAGGCTGTCTAATCGTTAGCAGTAAATGGAAGGATTTCAAAGGATGTAAAATTCTTTGGACACGCATTGGTGAAGTTTGAAACCGATCTGCCAGCAGGCGTGAGTCTTTGTTGTTGAAAAGGGATTGTTGAATTTTGTACAATCAGGGATTGGTAAGTGTACTGTAAGCGTGTATGTAGGCGTCCATATTCCTAGAAACAGTGATATTGCAGTTTAAACAATATAATAAATATAATTTAATGGAGTGTTCGATGATATGATTATCATAATTGTTAATTATTAATTAAGTAATTATTATTGATTAATTAATATGTAACGATACGGTTATTGGTTATTCAATAATTAATGTGTAATGACTTAATTGTTCATTGTTGATTAAATAACGGGTAACAATGTAATTTTTAATCAATAAAACTGTATTCTTCAAATATTTTATACGTATCTTCAGAGAAGGAGAAAGTAGGTATAGACGCTTTTTTTTTTAATACTTTATTTTTATGGAGCATTTTTACAATATACGTATGTATAATAGTGGATTTCGTTATTTAAGATTTGCAAATTTCAGAATTTTGGAATTTGACTTTTCGAATTTGACAATTTAAGCGAGTTGGAATTTAAGAATTAAATAATTTTAAGATTTGGAAATATTGAGTCGAATCAGAAACCCAATTCGTCAGTCGGTAGCATATCCAAAAAAAACATCTCACACCAAGTTTCAACCCCCTATCTCATCCGTGGGGGTAGTAAAAGGGAAAAAACGAAATTCCGGTTTTTGGCCGTTTTTGCCTATTTAATTTCGTACAAAAATTTTGAAAAAATTCTACAACATTGAGGTCCAGATAGCGCATATTATAGAATTTTTTCAGATTTTTTGATCGCAAATTGTAGTCGTGAAAAATCAAAAACCGAAAAAAAATCCGAAAAAATGCGATTTTTTCATATTCGAGACGTTGTTCATTTGGAAATTTAGAAATTTCAGGATTTAGGAATCTGAGAATTTCGAAATTTTTAAATTTTGCGGCTCGTGAATTTGCAAATTGGAGATTTCGAATGTTCAAAAAGTACGGATTTAGGAAATTTAAAACTGAATGCATTTGAGGATTAAAGAATTGACGAATTACTGATAATTTACCAGTAATTACAAAATAAAAAGTAATCTTAAAGTTTGCACAATTTACGACATGAAAAATTCGTGAAAGTTGTATATTTTTGTATTGTAATATGGATATCTCCACAAAAGGATACTAAATAAATTACGCGTTTATCCTGACAGAAGAAGCGAAGGGAAAACATGTGTGCATGTATTCTAAGATGTGCAGGAAATCATTTCTGTAGGTAAACCTTAATTTCCACCAGACAGATCTCTGTCCCTTTTCAAAAACAGCTGCGTTTCTTTACGAAAGTATTTCCTGGCTTTCATTATTAGGAACCTCTTCAACTTAACCTTTTCGGTTACGAATTATTTAATCCTGAGAAAAAAATCATGGTTTTACTAAACAGTTCGTTAAATTAAAGTATGATTTTTCAGTTGTATAAAAGATCTACGCGATATTAGAAAGAAATAGAATCTATGGTGATTACAGTATGAGGATAAAATATTCAAATAATAAAATTTACCAAGTCTAGATACATTATATGTATGCCAAGCATTTATTTAGTATGTCCTTATGTGAGGATGCCATCACTCCAAGTATTATAGAATCAAACCTTCAACTATCCTTTTTTTAAATTGCTTCGTTATTTGTGTTTAAAATATTTATATTTGAAAGATTTCGATGAAAATCTCATTACTTTATTATGGCTTAACTCATTTAAATCCATGAAAGGTACACTTATTATAAATTCAAAAAAATAAATTTGGCAATTGATTTTTATCATTTTCTTTGTCTTTTCAATTAATTAAAATTCTTTTTAGAACAATGAAGACTGAATTTTTGCTGCCGAAGGAAATAGGGGAAAAGTCACTATAAAGTTTCAAAGAAACTAGTTCATTTTAGTTAATTACATCCGTACACATGTCTATTTTTAAATTTACAGGAGAGGCCGACATTTTCATAATAAATTCTTTTGATACAATAAAAATAATACAACATCTCGTATGAAAAGTCTCATCAATTTTTGATTTCTGAAAATACTTAGATAGTGAAACAATTTTGTTCGTTGTCAGCAATGAGTGTGCAATACGATTGATGGTGACACTATCGTCAGACAATAGAAGCCTGCTATAAAGCGATAGTATACAGGTAGCCCAGTCCGTCAGGTAAAGTGTGCTCGCTTTTGTTGTGGGTATCGCTTACAGTTAATCCACAATCCGGAACCCACTACAATGGTGCGATGACCGGCGTAGTAGGCGATAAGGGGGCGCTTTCTTATGCTGGAAAAAAGAAGAAGCGACGACAGAAGCGGTGTTACGAGAAAAAGGGAATAAGGGAGCGAGAAAAGCGTAGATTTGTATCTCGCGGCACTGCGTTTCGTTCCGTTCCTCTTTTGACCGCCGACGCACCACGGACGGATTCTTGATTTTATCTTCTCGCCTCGTCTCGTCGCCAGACTCGAGAACAAACAATTAACGACCGCCTGCTCGCCGGATTCCGTAATTTATGGTGACGATTCCGTTCGCTCTTGTACCTAACGCTTCGCATCGTTCGTTAATGCGATCATGTGCCGGAGTCAAACGATCATCATAAATTCGACACGAACTGTTTGTTACGTTGGATCGCGTAGTCTTATTTTATTTATTATACAGTCTATATCTAATGATTCTTTTAAAGAGTAGCTGTAACAAGAGGCAAAATTTTGACAAAAAAATTCCTTTTAGAAAGAAGCGAAAGAATAATATAATAAATTCAAATGCCTATGCAAAATAAAATGAGATGAGGATACGATTTCAGAACGGTATTTCAATAAGCGAATGTACATAATGTGTAAGTATGTTGTTCAGAAAGCAATAACTATACCATTCATTTGTAATTTGTTTAAAACCTATTTAGAAGAAATATTGTGCTATTTATTTGTAATTTGTAATAAATACGAGTAAATAATTTGTCCTTCCCTATAATACATTAATTTGTATGTTTTCTAATCAATAGTTCGTTATTTCTTTATCAGTTATTTGTAATAATCATTTCTGTAATATACATGTATTCTTCAAATATATTTTGTTCAGTAATAATTTTAGTATACATATATGTAGTTGGTTATTTATTTACTTCTAATTACAGAAGTTGGCGTGGAAGGGCCGCTGCTCTTATTCGCCTACATATATGTATTTTCTTTCTTCAACTCTTCAATGTTGTAAAATTGATGTGAATAGGGGAAGGTAGCCTAATTTGGACCGCTGTGGTATCCAAAGACTGATAAAATCTGTGCGATTTTAGATAGGCAACTTATTATACGTAGATGTAGACAAGGTTAATGCAATCGTGTTTTTGAAGAAACGTCTCGTGGTTACATTGAGAGTAGTGTTATTTGTTTGACTACGAACAAACTTTGTTATTTTGATGTAAGAGTGAAAGCCGTTAATTCGTCTAAACGTAAGTAATTACAGGTTTTATTATATCATCACAAAGCTTACTTATCTATCTGTAATTTCCTGTTACAATTTTATGAGCTTATGTTAGTCTGACGTTTTTGTATAAAATATTCAAGTTATTTTTTACTATTATAAATGATATTTAAAATTTCATAAATGGTTTTATTTTGAAGGTACATTTACAAGAAAACATATCCAACCCAGACACGCCGATTTTGATGAAACTTATGTGAGATATAGTTCTCAAAAGAGGGGCAATCAGCATTTTTATTAAAAATATCATTATTTTTACAATCTTTTACAATATTTTAGACATTTTATACCTCTTCATATGCCGTTAATTGATTTCTCAATAATTATTGTAAGCGTTGCAGGTATGAGCGTGACGCGGTTATAATCAACGCCGTAAGGGACATAGGATTTTATGGCCAATGTTGTTAAAAAATAATTTAATTTAATTCTATTTTCTTAGTTCTCGGCGTGTCTGGGTTGGATATGTTCCCTTGTTAGTGAGTTTCTTTTCTACTACTTAATTTTTATTGACACTTCTTCCATGCTTTTATGTGTATAGTGAATAATATAAAAGTGGTCCAAATTAGGCTACCTTCCCCTACTTCGAATATCAATATTAATAATATGCAGAAATAGAAAAAATAGATTTCTAATTATTAAAGTTTTGCATGAAATTAAATTCATTTAATTTAAATTTCCTGCTTGTCTACATAATCATTTGAAAGGGACAAGCTTTGCCGAACATCAAAGGTATCGCCATTATGTCGTCTCCTGTTATTCCTACTCTTTGATATTTCCAAGAAAATGGAATTTTAAATGCTCACTTTATCTTAGGTATGCATTTGATTGTTTTTGTATTTTTAGCATTTTTGTCTGAACAAGGTTAATTTTTGTTACTAAAGTACTAAATTGTCGTATGATTAAGTGCTGTATGGTAAACTGTTATTAATTATTAACTACTAATAATTATAAATTATTTTTTCGGTGAATGTTGATGTATTTTTAAAGGTAAAGATATGAAATTGATAAGAAGTATTTTAAAAGTTTAAATCTGTTATTTCTGAGATAGCCTAATTTCCAATTAACAAATCACCGAATTTCTAAATCATAAACCCTTAAATCCTCTAATCCTTAAAATTACAAAATTCCTAAATTCCTTTTCCTAATTCTCAAATTTGCGAATTTCCGAATTCCTAATTTCTAAATCAGTAAGTTCTCAAATTTTCAAATTTTCAAATTCTCAAATCTTTAATTTCCAAAATTTTCAAAACTAGAAATCTTCAAATCCTTAAATTAAACATTCCCCAACAATCCCCGAATCTCAAAATGCCTTTTCCAACTTTGCGAATTCTAAAAATTACAAATTTTTAGAATTTCAAATCCTCAAAACATACAATTCTAGATCTCAAAATTCCGAAATTTACAAATCCTTAAATTTCTGTCTAATATAAATATAAATCTTTCCATTTTAACCTTCATTTCGTTCTCGTAAAATGATATATATTTTTACGATTCTTTAGAATTCCAAAATATTTGTTATATTCTCTCCCTTTGCGAAGAGGGCGTTCCTCGTCGTTGTTTACTTACCAGAATGCACTAATCCCTTCTCATGTCCTCCTATCGCTCGAATCAGGACGTGAATGCACCACGCATGTTTCGATTGTATATTTTGTACATACTTCTGGTAAGTTGGTATTGCATCGGCCAATAGGATCAGCGTGGGTGCGGCGCTCAAGTAGTGGGGAAAAGATGTCAGCCAATCGCAGAGGTACATCCGAGTGCAGTGATGGATCGTTGCAACGGAGATGTTTCTGCAATTTCCAAATACATCCTCAGTCTTCATTAGGCTGTAATGCCGACAACGTCGGATTTTACAAGTTTCTTCCGTATTTCTACGAGAGTTTCATTTAAAATTAGTTAAGTGATATACGATACGGTGTTCCAGTTTGAAGATGAATTCACTTATGGCGATGCCTACGGAGTTACAACTGCAATTGCACCAACAAATGCTTTTCCGGCAACAACAACTTGTTTTTCGTAGACATAGACCAGGTTTGTATTTCGTAGTTTCGTTGTTTTTTATTTTAATTAGTAGGTATATGTTAATAAATACCTAATGCAGGATTTGTTCATTATTTAACATTAATTCGTAAGAAATTTTTAATTGAAGCTTGATGTTTATCGGACAAAGTATTGTATGTGTCGGAGTCAAAATGACTTGCTCTTCATTTATTACTTTAAATTGAAGAGAACAGTATTGTGAAAGGTTTTAAGGACATTGAAGGGTAGGAAAGAATAGGAGTTTTTCTTCATTAATTCTTCAGTAATTCTTCATTTTCATATTTTATCTCCAATTTCACTTAAAAATAGATGTGTGTTGTACCGTAGATAGCTGTACGTAGTATTAACAATAATAGGTATTAATCTTTCATTTTTTAATTTGATATTTTTGAAAATTATTTTTGATTATAAGAAATTAAATGTATGTATAGCAGTGGTTGCGAAGATGTATGCAACAGGTGTCAGAGGAACAGTTTAAAATTGTTAGATTATGTAATAAATTAATTTAATAAGAAAAGTATAACAATAAATTATAAATAGTAATATCAACTGATAAGTAATTACTAATATTATTTTGTATTGGTTTTATTATTATGTTCTTTTCTCAATAAGTGAATGAATTTCACTTGTCCACTGGTACCATAATCTTTTTAGTGTGATAACATAACAGAATTACATATTGTTAATTACTTTTTATTTCATTTATGTCAGTTTAGTAGCATGTACTATTATTTTACTTTAGTAATAGCATTACAATAGTATAGTAGTTTATAGAAATTATAGTATTCTATGGTGAAATTTATAGTGGATATACGGAATGTTACAAAAAATAAATTGAAAATATAGAATAAAATTTGTTCATATAAATTTGAAACTACAAAATACAACAAAGTCAATATGTACGTATATGTATATCAATCAATTATATGTATAAAATTTTAACTGTTTTGAAATTAAAAGTAAGAGCTATCAAAAACGTGTGAGAAAAATGGTACCTAATATTAAACACCTAAGAAATTTGTAAAAGAAACGTAATTTTTATTAAAAGATATAAGTAATTAGTTAGATAAAAAAAATAGCTATACAAATGTACATCATTCTTAAAATGTTATTTTTCTTGATATTATTTGTCTTCGACTTTAACGTTTTGAGCATATTTTGTATATGTGAATACATTGAATCTATTTTCTCGAGTATTATTACTATATTGTAAGTACTTCGAGTAGTAAAAATATATCGTACAATATTATGCAATGTAAAACATTAACAAGGAACATGAGCAGTATGAGTTTCATGTTGAGCATATTTGTTACGTATGAATGTATTGTACGCATTTTTTGCATTTTTATCGTTATAATGTAAGTATTTAGAACGGTAAAAATATTATTTTGCAATTTTATGCAACCTTAAAATATTATGAAACTTAGTATTAACAAGCAACACGTAACAATATAAACAATTTCCACATTACGTACAATCGTGTTCTGCATTGCGTACACACACGTTTTGACAGGAAAATAATTGTCTAAGGAAGGCAATAACTGTAACGTTAAATTGCTCTCGAACAGCTTAAAGCAAAGGTATTTAATGATAAATTATGTAAAAGTAATATTTTATAACTTTACTAAAAATGTAATTATTTACTTGCCGTTTAGAAACTTCAGGTATTGTACTATGAAACACAACGTTGCTTCATGACACACTTTCAGTCGAAGCACAAATATTAACACAATCTTTTACAATGAAATAATTATACCACTTTACATTTTAAAGTGAGATTTTTTTATTTATTCATTCAGATATGTTAGTATTCCACAAACTGTAGGTATCTTAACTAGTGTAGTTGTACACTCGTACTCATTTAAAGGCATTCTGGCCGTGCAATAAACGAATAAACATATTGATAGTCGATTTTTCACGTAACTCTTACAACTTTCTCATTTCCCACGAGTGCCAGGAAAGATGTCCTGCGGAAAGATGCGCGTAATGCTACCAGATGCATGTATAAACAACGTTTGACATCGATCCGTGCGAACTTTTCTCGGGCGGAAAGATGAAAGGCGCCGACTTTCGGTCGAGTGGACAATCGCTATCTGCTCGTGTACAATAGTTGGTCTCCGCGTTAGGAAGAGAAAGAAGATGAGCCGATGGCCACAATTATCCTAGCACAAGACCTAATGCCTCGACCGCAGAACCGCGAACTGCTTGCGAACAAGCGACGCCGTTTGCATGGATCCACTTGTAAAAGGTGTTCCTTCTGGAATTCTAGTTACCTCATCCGCATAACTTCTTGTTCCTTCTCAAAGCCTCTAAGTGGAGGAGTCGATAACCACGCGGAAAGAGATAGCGAATTCCATTTGTTTCACAATGTTTTTGTGCAAGGGCAATTTCGCTTCGAGGACGATGGTCTCTTGGTTCAATTGCAGACTGTTTACTTTACTCTTAATCATGTTTTTCGCGAAGATGCGTATAGCAGTCGAAGTTGTCTTCAAGTTGTGTAATGTGAAATAACTAATTAGTTGCGGTTTTTATTTAAACTATTGGTATAGGCATTGGTGTAACTAGGATTTGTCGTTGAAGAGGATAGATTCTTAACTGTGCTGATAAAGTTGACATCAGGTGGTTTCGACTAAATAGGCTTTGGAAACTTGAAAAGTTAGAAATTTTATTTGACAAATTAAGATTTGACGATTTAGGAAGCTGGAGATTTGAGAATTTATGAATTAGGAATTTAGGGATTTGAGGATTTTGAAATTTGAGAAATTAAGAACTTTCAAATTTGCGGTCTCAGGAATATAGAAATTTACATATTTAAGTATTTGTAAATTTAGAAATGTGAGAATTCGGAGATTTTTAAGCTTGAGTATTTGGAAATTGCGGAAATTAATAAAGTAGAGTTTAAAAATTAGAATCAATAACTAATGAATCAATGATGTGAAAGGGTAGTCGAAGTTTATATGAATTTTCTGTAGAATTAAATCGTTATAGAATTAAATCGTACATTGAACCAGTTTCTAATATCATAAATAATTATAAAAAGTCTTTTTTTGTGATTTTTAGACGACATTCCAAATCCAAATGTATGGACAATACCACGTCTTGGTGGAGGACCTCCCCTACCTCCTGAAGTAAAAGTTGAGTTGCAAAATAGAGATTTGTGGCAACAATTCCATGCAGAGACTACTGAAATGATAATTACGAAAGGGGGACGGTGAGTGCACAATTTTCTTTATATTACATTTTCAATATTTTGAAGTTTTTATTTTAAATAATGTGTAATGATAAAAGAATATACATATTCTGGAATTACTAAAACTTACTCGGTAACTAAAACTTATGAATAAGAATGATTATTTTTCTTTCCGTAAATTTTGTAGGACTTAAAAATATTTACATCTTAATGTATAAGGATTTATTAATAAACCAATTTATTAGATGTTTACTTTAGTTTACATTAGTGGATGTTCATAATTAATCAATACTTATATTAGTTATTGAACATTTATTATTATACTTTTAATGGATATTGATGAACGTTTACATGAATAAAAAAATAGGAATCCAATTTAAAGTAAATTAGTTCAGTGAGTTATGATTAATTGTCAGGTTAATTTTTCAAAATTGCGTAAAATATCCTTTTTATTGGGTTTATAGTTATATTTCTTAGTTATTGAAATTGGTTGTCCAAAATTCCAACATTGTTGGTATGACGTGGCGGGCGCCATAGGACCACACCCTCTGTCGCTATCGAAACCCTTAGTCCACCTGAAAAAATGTGACCTGTCTTTTCACCTACTAATATACTTTTATTCTTCACTTTTAGTACTTTACATTTTTAAATTACATGTACATTCATTACTTGTACAATATTGTTCAATTTCAGAATTCGACTGTATTCTTAAATTTACATACTAAAAGATTTGGTAACTAATAGGTTTAGAAATTAAGAAATCTTAGTTATTTAAAAGTCTTTAGTTATAAGTCCAAATATTCAAGTTTAGTTATTTAGAAGTTTAGAAATATAGGAATTTAGAATTAAATTTAGGAAATTCAAAAGTTAAAGATATTACAAATATGAGATGGTAGAAATTTATCAAATTTGGAAATATAGAAATTAAATATTTTTTAAGCTTCTAGTTTTCAAAATTTTTATTTAAAACATTTTTTGAATAAAAATTTTGTTATTTTTATTAATAAAAGCAAATATTGTACTTTTGGTTCGGATAGAAAAAGTATAATGTGGCGAAGAGTAAATGAAGTTTTAAAGTCAAAGAATCTAAAACCTACTTTAAAGCAAGGTAGAAGGTTCTGTACGGGGATGCATATTCAGTGCAGACGTTAATGAACTGGTGTTCACTGATAATATTTTTAATAAAAAAAAAAATATTTAGACTTTTTAAGAAAAAACTTACTGAAACGTACAAACAATGTGGGATTACAAAGTACCTTCAAATTTCATCAGGGTAATGATTGGAAGCACAGAACTCGAAGTATATAGGTGTATTTGTTATATGTATATATAATTGTTCAAAAGTTTTATATCCCCCTCCCAACTCCAGACATACATAAGTCCTACAAAGAATCTATAGGATGAATTAAACTAAGGAATTAGAAAAACACTAATAAATTTAAAAGTTAAATTACAAATGATACTGAAAGAAAAATGTCATTCTATTTGTACAGAATACTTGAAAAAAATTATTTTTAATATACCCAAACGATTACACGGGGTTATTAAGCAAAAAGACTTCGCAATAAAATATTGAAGTTGTAGTTTTTTTTACATTTCATATATAAATTCTTTATTTTTCATCAAATGACCAAAACTTCAATGCGACGTGAAAATGTGATAGCCTGTTGTTCAAAATATATTACACATCGATATAATTGAAAAGAAATTGTTAACACCTATATTTTCAATCTATAGTAGATGATATGTGTTATTGTGAAATAAGTAGTATGATAAACCATTTTTCCCTGTATACAATAACAAATACAGAAGTACTGCAATGTCCGAATATTAATGTGAGTAGTTTCACGTGAGTAATTACACGTCATCCAAGTCAGGCAAGTAGACATTTTTAATGAGGGGTAGTTTTGAGCATCGACAGGGTGATTAGTTTCACGGAAGGTGGTCATCGAAGGTCATAAAAGTAAGGGCGTGACGACGTGTCCGTTGTTATCGACACTACCGATCTTCAAATCATTTTACGAAGGTAGTTTTTGCAGGAAAAGTATAGGCCGGACGGATGCAAGACGAATCACGACTTCCGGTGACCGTTCGCCGGAAACGATTGAGCTACTGGTCACTCCTTTTCAGATACGCAGGCGTATAACTATCTAAGATAAGATTACTAGGAATTTCGCGCTGTCTCGCGCTCGATAACTCGCTGATGTCAGCCCAGATGGTTTTGTCCCGTTGTGAACACGGAAATAAAAGGGGAGGGGAACGCCAACGTAACAAGAATGTAACATTCTTAAAATGTTTCGTAATATCCATTCATTTGAAACGGGTCGAACGTTTATACGATACGAGATACAACTGTAATTTTGCGTGTTTATAGTAATGGGCAATTGTGGCTGCGAAAGCGCGGTGCATGGACGACATATGACCGGTATTCGGACATGGGCAATGGGCACTCAATTTCTTAATGGGACATTTGAAATCTGAAATTTCTATGTTTTCAAATGACTAAGCTTTTATATTTTCAAATTATACAATTTTTTTATTTTCAAGTTATAAAAATTATGAACTTTCTACATTCTCAAATTATAAATTGTTTATATAATTAAATAATTTCAATTAATTATATAATTAAAAATACCCTGTATTGTGAACTTCAAGGTAATTCATGCAATTGTTAAAGAGAAATAAAATGTCGCCACATAAATTGTATAAATGTCATCTATTAACATAAACGCTATAACTTTCCGATGAACTCAATATAATATTACAAATCTGGATTGTAATTGTAGTTAAGTTAAATTGTAGTTTAAATTTTAATTACAAAATAATTGAAAATCTTTCAAGACGAAAAATATACAATATCTGGTTTATTTCTCTTAAGTTTATTTCTCAATTTGGACCGAATCCTAAATTGAACAATTATACTCACATATAAATTAACTTATGGTTAGATCTCCTTTAGCATGGGGTTGTAACACGTGAATGTTACTCAAGGCCATGTATGCATTTGTCGAAAAGAGTACCGATAAAAAAATTGAATAACAAAGCGACATAACGTTTTGGTCAATTCAGTACAATAGATGTATCACAACAAAAGTACTTTGCAAATGTACCAAGGAATGTATCTCGTTGAAAACATCCGTTACTCAGACGTTCGTTAGCGGACAGAAATTAGGATACCAAAATAAATTGCAGAAAGGTAGCCTAGACAAGGGTGATTCGTGGGCGGTGTACATTGTACAATAGATACAAAGGTACTGTTCGTCCGTGTATCCGTGCCTTCCGGTTCAGTGACGATACTTTCCATCTAAGAGCACCACGTGTCAACCACGTGCATCCAGTTTCATGCCTTACGCGGCTCCAATCAGTATTCCATGACACGATCGACCCGTTCGTTTTCCTCGATCCTTTTGGCGAGTTTCGCTCCTTCGAAATACATTGTTCCTTCGATCAGCGTTGTCTATTGCCCTGCGCGGCCTTGCGTCAGAGCTGATGAATAGACAGGAAGAGAAAATGTGCATTCCAGAAGTGCAACTCTGACCTTCTCGTGTTTGTTCCACTTTGTCCTCGATTTCTTATCCTTCGTTTTTCTCTCACTATGAGGGACTGCTTGTAAGCAAGGAAATTCGTTTCACGTTGCATCGTTATTCGCTATCTGCTTCGAAATGCTTTTATGACTTAACGAATTTTTAGTCACCGAGATTTAGTGGAGTAATTAGGCGAAGTTAAGCATTTGGAATGCACAAAATTATGAACTAGAATTATACTCGGTTAGGGAAAGAGGTGTGGATTGCATACAGTCATATATTTTGCGTTGAATATTTAAAAATTTCCGAAGAACATTTTTGTACATTTGTACATTTTTCGTAAAAAATCCCAAAGTATTAAATTTGTATAAGTACAGATCTCCAAATTTTCAGTGTACACGTTAATTCTTTATTTCGATGAAAATCAACACAAGTTTTAAGAAAATCATCTTAGCAAAGTTCGCAAGTTAAGTTTGACACTTAAAGAGTCATTTTGACCTATTTGATTTAGTGTTAAGATTACATGTGCGAAGTGATTTTCAGGAGTTGTCCGACGCTATGGACGGTGTCGTAGAAATCACTAAAAGTGGCGCCTTTGTAAGTGGAGGATTATGCCGTCGCGACGCACGGCTGCGGAACAGCAGTACGTCGATCATTTGAGCGTCTGGTCCTTTTAAAAAGCCTCTCGAGATTATAAAACAGTCAGATAATGTCATAATAGCGTGATATATACAACGCGTGGAGCGGCAGCACGCGCTGCCCGTTTCCCTTTCATCTTGCTGATTAAATGAATCACAAGTCGCGTGGTGTGGCGTGGCGGAACTTTGTTGTTCACGTTTTCAATTATAACGATTGGAACTATAAATAGGTACATTTTTGAAATGTGCAAATTTAAAAATTTGAGGATTTAAAAATTTAGGAACCTGGTGATTCAGAAATGTTGGAATTTTTTAATTTAGAAATCTGGGATTTTGAAAATTTAGGAAACTTGGAAGTTGAAGTTTTTTAATTGGAAAATTTTGGAGATTTGGAAAAATTTGAAAATTAAAAAAAATAAGCTGTTTGAAAGTAGCAAAATTTGAGAATTAGAGTATTTAGATATTTAACAATGCACAGATTTGAAAAACTAGAAATTAAAATATTTAAAATATTGATCTTAAAATTTGAAAAATTGGAAATTAGAATAATTTGAAATTTTATAGGAATATTTAAAAAATTAGGAATTAAAATATGTAAAAGTTCTATAATCTGTTCCAATTTTAATATTACTTGATGTAAATGTTATTAGAAAACAATTTTAAATTACTTTAATAATTTTGGTTTTAATATTTCACCATTAATGATATGATTTAAAGATAAAGACTTTTCACGAAGTTGGAAATACCGATGAGCTGTTTCGTTTGAACTTTACGTTATTAAAGCATAATATATACTTGTCTGGCGATTTAATACCCGGTTTTGTAATTTAAGTGGAATTTTAGCAAAGGTTATGATTTTCAAGAGCGATTAAGGGAAAAATAGTGTATGTACTCTTTCGCGAGGCTTAGAGTGCACTTTGCGAATACAGGTTGGATTTTCCGTCCTTAATTGCGTCCATTACTTAAGATACGTATCTTTTGTGGATTTAACTTTTAAATACCGAAGAGTCAAGTACTATTGTAGTGGACGATTCGAACGTACTATAGGGGATTTAGTGCTTAAGAGATTCTATCGAATTTTGTGACATAAACGTGAAAGAGAACAATTCAATAATTAATAAGAATAGGTAGATTAATTATTCAAGTAATGATAAGTAACCAAGATTGAACGATTTCTTAATCAGTAATAAATATGACGTTCGTAGCTACAATTTACAACATATGTAGTTTGTTAGGCAATTAAAACACAATTTCCTTTATGACTAACAGTTTAACTAATGTATCTTTGTTATTTTATAATTTCGTAATAGAATTAAACAATTTCACAATAAAAGATACTTGTAAATATAAAAGTAATCAAATCGGAGGCATAATGTTTAGACATTATAAAAAATTTAAAAACTGGCAGATAATTTATTACTGAACTAGTTTATGCAAAAGGAAGTGGAAGCCTTTTAATTTCTAAATTTCTTTTACTTGCTTTTTACTTTTATATGTATTGTTATACTTCAAAATTTATTTTCTAGAATTTCCTCTTTCAAAATTTCTAAGTTTCTAAATTTCTAAATATTAATATTTTCTTATTTTACATATCTGAATACAAAAATATCCGAATTACCGAATTGTTATGTTTCTTAATTTAGAAGACAGACAACTAAAAATTTGTAAAGTTTTAAATTTTACATATATCTAACCTTCCAAATATATAAATGTGAAAATTTGATATTTCTAAAACTCTAAACCCATTTTCTAAATTTCCAAATTCTTTCATTTCATATAAAAGACATTTGTTTATCATAAATACATCTATCATCGATTTATCACAAATATTCAACACAGAAAAAACGAATGTTTTCTCTTATTTTTAATCGTTTTGCACAATGAACTCGAACGGATATGGGTAAAAGACACATGGAACAAAGTAGCGATGGAAAGTTCGCAATTAGGTATGTAAACAAACCAACCCATCGCAGATTGACTTCTGGAGGTTTGCTCACGGGATTATCCGCGAGTTTGAAATGTTTACCCGAAGGAGAAAACTTTGTGTCAAGATCGGAAGATAGTGATTGTGATGCTTCGAAAGAGTCGCAGCAGTTAACAGAAAGTTCGAATCCAGTTGACTGGGGAATGACCCTTCGATTTCATGTCGTTCGCTTTTGCTACCTGTGCAAAAAGACACTTAACGTTAACTAAATGAAAACTTAGTGCTAAATCTACTGTCACTAAACGTGAAATCTAATGCGCGATTACTTCTACTGGATTAACCGAAAAATTTCGTTATTTTTTAAAAAAATATTACAAATGTGTTATTGTTTTATTTACTTGCAGCTTCACAAATTAGTAAAAATTATTCGCTTAAAATAATTTAATTTGATATATCTTTAATAACTTAGTGATAATTTAATTTAACTTGAAACATTATGGATTATTAGCAAATATCAACGCTTGTTTCTGTTTTGTACAAACAACTCGATTTTTATTTGTACTTTTACGGTTTAGAAAGACTTTATATAATCATTTATATAATCATAGCATATAATTATTATGCTGTGGGTGTTTATGCATTTGTGATATGTCGATGTCTACAAAATAAACATAGAGAAACGATACTTATATCTATGTTTAATCTATGTTTCAATTTTTGGATGTCTTAAAGTTTCGATATCTTTCAATCTTAAGTCCTAAAGTCTTAAATCTTAAATCCTAGTCACAATCCCTATGTTAAAAATTTCAAAGTCTTGAAGTGCCAAAATTCCAAATTTTCATTACGAAAAGTAAAATTTTCTTTTACATTTTATATAACTTTTAATTACATATATTAGGTTGTCCGGCAAGTTCTTTTCGTTTTTTTAATAGGTGTTAAGTTTAAAATATTTTGCGTTCAGTGTATTATTCTTAAGTAATATACTCCGTTATATTAAGTAATATAATCCGTTCTGTTCTACCATCCTTCTGCCATCTTTCTGGAAGCCTCATAATGCCACTTTCCCAAAATTCTCTTGGTTTACTGTTAAAATATTCTTCAAGACCGTTTTTTATTTCATTAATTGATGTGAATTTTTTATTGCGAAGAAAATTTTTTTGGGGAAAGCAACAAATAATAATCCGATCGAGCAATGTCTGGAGAGTATGGGGGATGTGGTAGAATATCCCAATCGAAGTCTAAAAGTTTCTTTCGCACAGGTAAAGAAATATATGACCTCGCGTTGTCATGGTGGAACGCGACACTACGTCTATTCACCAATTCTGGACGTTTTGTGAATATAGCTTCCCTAAGTTTTTCGAGTTGCATGCAATATTTCTCGTTGTTAATTGTTTCCCTTGGTTTTTCATCGAGGTAGGCCTTGATAAGATCGGTATCAGTGGTGGATGGACGGCCGCTGCGAACTTCATCTTTAAGATTGAAATTTCCGGCTAAACCAATTACGGACATTTTGCACAGTTATAGAATGATCCCCATAAACATCACAAATCTCCTTTGCGGTAATTCCAGGCGTAATGTCTCTTTTAAAACAGTAAAACATGACGTGGCGCAAATGCATCTTTTGATCTTCCATCTTTCACAACGCGAAAAATACGGGATTCAATTTCTACTCATGCTGAAAATAGTCCTCTTGTAGTGCCAGAGAATGACACTGGACCAAACAATTGATTTTGGAGTGATCTGGATGTTTGTTTACTTAAGCACAACAATGTAAAGCCTCGAGTGACAAACGCGAAAAGAACTTTCCGGACAACCTAATACATATATGTATTGCATATGAGATTCTAGAAGTCTTCTAAATTTAGTGTTCAATTTTTTACGTTTACTGTTTTAAACTATATGTTTAATCTAAGTGTTTGATACCGACTGATAATCTAATCCAACCCTGTTTGTACTGAATACATTATTTTGTTACAGACGAATGTTTCCGTCGATTCAGTTGACAATCACTGGATTGGACCGTCGTGCCCGCTATTGTGTCGTCCTCGAAGTGGAGCCGGTGTCAAATCGTCGTCATAAATACGTCGGTGGCGTTGAAAAATCCTGTGGAAATGCAAAAGGCTGGACATCAGCTGGACCAGCAGAACCTCAACCACGAATTGATCGAAGAATATACCTGCATCCTGAAAGTCCAGCGACCGGTGCGCATTGGATGCAACATCCTCTCAGTTTTAATAAACTAAAATTGACTAACAACGCTGTGGATCCTAAAAACAACGTGAGTAATTTGTAACTGTTCTTATTCAATGAAAATGTTAACAATAAATCGTATTCAAATGTAAATATACTACATGAAATAATGAAAACTTGAAATCCGTGTATTTTGTCGATATATTAATTACTTTGTGATCAGCACAATTATTGAAAATATTTCTCACCTCTTGTAATTATGATTTTTTTACATACCTTTATGAAATCGTAGTTTTAGATATTATATTCTTTTTCTATTCTTGTATTTCTAAAAATATATTTGTTTAAGTAACTTGAAGATTTGGAAACTTGATTTGAAACTTGAAAATTTGGTTTATAGTTTAAAGGTATGGTTATTTTGTATTTGGAGATTTGAAAATTTAAGGTTGAGCAATATGGCCATTTGGAAATTTGGAGATTTGGTAATATAGAAATTACGAATTTTTGATGATTGGAAACTTAGGGACTTGATACCTTGGTAATATAATAATCTGGAAATATAGAAATCTGCATTCAAATTTAATTTAAAATCTAGAATTATGGCCATTTGCAAACTTCACGATTTAAAGATTGAAAATCTTAGTATTCAAAAATTTTTAAATTTGGGGACATATGTTAAAAATAACAACACACGGAAAAATTGTTTGTTTTAAACATTTAAATTGGGGTAAAAATACAAAAAATCCTACACAACCCTACAATTATTAATTAATCGTTGAAATATGATAGTAAGTACGATTATTAATTAACCGTTGAAACATGATAGTAAGAAAAAATATATTGCATTATCAATTGGTTATAGAAATATCGTATCATGGTATTTATGAAATATTTTACTTCTTTAGTTATATTCTTTATTTTCGGTATTTTATGTTCATTAGTCCGTTTTTTAATTAATTTATGATGAAACTGTTTTAATATACTAGAGCGTTGAAAAAAATTTCTGTACTTCAAAGAAATAATTTAAATGTTAATAATTTTTGAGAAGAGAAAACATGTTGTATGAAAAGGTTCGTAGGAAATTTGGAAAAGGAAGTAACCGATTTACTAAAAGTGAAAGCGGTGTTCCATTTATCTAGATACCCCGTGTTTGGACAAGCTAGTGTGTCCTTAAATGCTTCTTCTTTTTCTTATGTCTCTGGTTTCGAGGTTCTTCCGTGCTTTGGCCGTATGCGGGAGGTCGCCACACACAGATCCACCCTTTTAGCTACTCGTTTCACTTCCGATTAAGTTCTTCAAAAAAAAAGTCAACCTCTAATTGGGGACTTCCAACGATACTTTGTCTCGTGTCAATTAGATTCACAATTCCTTCTCACGAACTTTGCAAGCTTGCGTATTATTTTTTTACTTCAAGCATTTTTATTATTTTTTGTAAGAAATCTGGAAATATTTCATGCTTCAAAGTAAAAGATTTAGTATTTTAATATGTAGAATGTTTACAAACATTTCGTGCTTCAAAATGAAACATATGTATACAGAGTGTATTTACAAATATTTTGTTCTTCAAAGTAAAGACTCAATACATTAATATGTATACGTATGTATACATAGTGTGCCAACAAAATATACATATACGCATTTTATCGTTACGTAATTCAAAAGATAAAATGTACATAGATTACATCGACATTACACTAGTTATTTTAAAATTATAAACGTGTAAAATAATTATCGTCGATATTAATGGCGACTAATATTTTTGCTAACAATTATATTTATTTACTTATTGCTTATAGAAATTTTTAGCAATAGTTCAATAGTTTAACTGATATTGACTTTAAGTAATATTGCAGGCATTAATGGGTTAACTTTCATTAGGTAGCTGCACATTTATACATGTTCACAGATACTCACAAATTTCACTCTTTAATTTTGTCATATTACAATAAGCCTAAGTGATCGATTGTCTGTTTTTCCTCCATTTCTGTTGTTTTCTATTTCAATAAATCGATGCTAACGATTCTTTAACTTAATGAAGTTAAAATGGTGTCGATGGTGTAATCCTTAAATTTCTCCTTCGAACATGAGTCATCATTATATCAGATTATATTCTTGACTGTAACAGTTTGATGGCAAGCAAGGAAACCCGTTAACTGGTCAAGGTGACCAAACCAGGATTCCCTTGTCCGGGATAAAAGACTTGCAGAGAAAACTTTCCATACCTTCCAAAGATTTAAGCTACTCAAAACGGTGCCGGTTTAGGTCGGTCTTGGACGTTGTTCGTGAAGAACAGAGATTAGCATGCTCCACAACACTCTGTAATCGATATACCTCCGTTTTTCTCTCGGGGAGTGGGTTTATTTACGCTCTGACAGGACGAATCCCGGCAGCTGGCTTCGTCGCGGCGCCCCTTGGCAGTTCTTTCAAGTTTTTCACAGGAATTTCCAAAATTATTTCTGCGGATTTGCATCGCTTTAAGTACCTCAAGGGCGCGCGACTGCGTTTCTTCGAATAGGGAAAGGTATTTAGGGACATTTTTTAATTTTTCTAAGATTGCAATTAAAACTCATCTGGTTAAGGTTCGATAAACTCGCATACCTAATATTCCTTTGTTTTATTATGAGTATGTTTTAACAGATCATTTTTCAAACTGTACTTAAAAACGTTTTTGAAAATTTATTGTTAGATTGTTAGATAGTGATAGAAAATCTTAGTAGATATTATATCTAATATTTGTTGAAAGTATTCGTATATTGCAATGAATTTCAATTGTCTATAATAATACTTAAAGGATAAAATTAGTTTTGAATAATTATAATAATATTACAAATAAATATTAAATAGTTATTACTAGTTTTATTGTTTTTTATAATTGTTATTATAAATAATAAATACAATATTGCTATTTAATATTTATATCACTTTAAAATATATGAAAATTAATAAAAATGTAAAAGAAATGATGATTATAGAAAAGATCATAAACTTTTTGAACGTTTTATGTAACTGTGTATTATTTGGCAAATGAAAATTATAATTATGAAATATTTGTTTAAATAATTATAATTATTTTTTGATATTAAATAATTATCATGAACAATAAATATAATAATAATTATAATATAGAATTAAAATATTAATTTGTAAATTATTTATATTATAGTATAAATATATAACCTGTAATTGAAAAGAGAACTACTAAAATTCTACAGGACTTCAAAAAATATATATAAGAATATAAATTTACAAAAAAATAAACCCCTCAGTACCGATGAATTTAATATAACATTTTTTTGCATGTTAAAAACGCAACATCCAAAAATTCCATACAAAATAAGATTACTTATACTCATATATTATTAATATAATAAGAAAACATATGCAATGGATGAGGTAATCGAAGTTCTAGCAAGCTTGCAGTTCACATAAAATTTTGAATAGGTCGATAGTTCGTAATTCCGGGAAGGTTGAAGGGCCAGTCTGGTTTTCGAGAATCGCGTCTGTCTCCATCGTCGGCATCCTTAGCAAGGCGCCAACTTATCTTGACAAAGCGGAGCCCTTTTACTCGATTCTTCAAACTAATTACGAATTTAATAAAATCCTTCCTTTCGTGCGTTTACGTTTACCGAAGCAAGGAAAATAGTTCAAGTTAAAGAGGGGAGCTGTGTTCGAATTTTTGTCACCATTGTAGGACGACTAATATCAAGGGGCTTAATGTAATTTAAAGATTTCATTTATTGGCTTACAAGTAATCAGAAAGATTTCTTTTGTTCTCATATTTGGGATTTTGTAAATTTAACGTTGGGAAATTTGGAATTTTGGATCTTTCAGAAATTGGATAGTTGGAAATTTTTGAATTTGGAGATTTGAGAATTGCAAATTTGGAGATTTAAGAATACATTTTGTAACTTTTCCAAGTTTAAAAACTTGCAAATTTGAAAATTTTTAAAGTTATGAAATTCTTAAACATTCAAAGGATTCCCAGAATCCCTAAGTTCCAAATCTTGAAATTTAATTCCAGGTCAATTAAATATTAATTTAAGTATTCAATTATTACAATAATTGTATCTGTCTTTGTTTGCAGGTGGTTCTTACATCTATGCACAAATACATTCCTCGCATTTGGATCATCCGTTGCGACGATGCTACCAGATTAAGCGAATTATACAATTATCCATCTTCTTCGTTTCACTTCACCGAAACAGAATTTATTGCTGTTACTGCTTATCAGGTAAAACATCTACAGCTATATCAGTATCAATATACATACACATATAACTAAATAACTATAAAACTAAAATCAGCGAGCTTTGATACAATAAGTTTTTAATAGTGTCAGATGATTGAGAGAAAATATCTAATATTCTATCTAATATGATAGAACGTAGAAAAGTTAATGTATCGTAAAGTTCCTGACAGGAACATTAATTGTATCTCCATTCGATTACATTCAAATACCCTTAACATGATTCTCGCTTTAATGTGACCACTTATTGTTAGTGCAGTAGAAGTTAAAATACTCTCCTAAATACAAACCAACATGACATCTTTTGATTATAGGATTTTGACTGTTCATCATACGATTACAATTTATATTGACTTTGCTACGTGATTTATAATTTTTATCGACTGTGTTATACGATTTACAATTTATGTATCACAAGTTCATGCTAGTATTCATGTCGCCAATGACTTAAACCCAGGACCATCATAATCTTTCAAATATTTACAATAATCCTGCAAAGTATTCTGAAATCTTCACTTTAGCAAAAACATTGAAAACAATTGTACCTATTAAAACAGCAGGAAAAATATTTTCCCCGTTTTTCGTGAAGGTTCTTCATATATTTGTGCATTTCCGTTACAGAACGAGAATATCACGAAGCTGAAGATCAACAACAATCCATTCGCGAAAGGATTTCGAGAGTCTGGTCAGTCTCGATGCAAGAGGAAATACCAACAGGATGACGTAGAAAGAACTAACCGCATCGACGAAGAAGATGGAAACATGTCGTCAGAATCCGAATCGAATAGACCATCGAATCACATGGATGTTGTCACACAGAGACCAAAAACAGCATCCAGTGAAACAGGAAGTTTGGACGACAGTAGTGTCAGTAGTTACGGTGGTATTAGTCCACCTCTAGCTTCTATTTACCAAAATTCATCGTCTAGGGATATCGATCGTGACACACAACCGAGATTACATAGGCCATGGATCGATTCATCTTCACAATTTTCTTCCTCGATATCTTCGGCATCTACGAATTTATCATCGATAAACTCGTATAATGATTTCAATCTGTCCTCGTATTATTTTCGTTTAATTCATCCCTCCTTCGTTATGCAACCGGATTTAATTAGGTTACAGTATCAGTCTATAGCGAATTCGAAGTATCACTAATGAAAGTTGTTGCATTCTAACTAGGAAGGGACCAAGGTTCTAGTTTTGAAAAGTTTGGGGATAAATAACGGTTCAAATTTTCAAATTTTGAAATTGGGAAAGTTTCAAGTTTTTCAGATTGTAAATTTTCACATTACAAAATTCTTGTATTTTTGATTTTGAAAATATTAAGTTTACAAATGTTTAATATCTAAGTATTTCAATTTTTTATTTTTCAATTTTCTAAATTCCCGAATCCTTAAATCTTCAAATTTTTCATTTTCAAAATTAAAATGTTTTCAAATTTCCAAATAATCAAATTTCACAATTCAAAAATTTTCAAATCTGTCAATTTTCGAACTTTTAAATTTCTCAATATTTAAATTCCCAAGTCTCCAAAAATCTCTCGATCATTTTTAATGAATGTTACTGTCACTATTAATAAAGCTAGGAAAACTGAAATACAACAGATAAAAATTATAATGAGATTAACTATTATCAATTCGTTTGATTTTGCAGGAAGTTTATTTTCTAAACAAACGTGACTATTTTGTATGTAAACTTATAAAAACAAGATTGTTCAGTCTACAAGCAAGAATAAGTAAGTATACATTACAGGAACAACCAACCAAAGATTCTCTGCATTAAAAAACAACGAAATCAAATTAAGTTGTGCCTGTCTTAATATTCTACAGCTTGTCAACGATATAAAATCTCTGATATTTCTTTATAAATGTTTAAAGTAAAAGAAGAAGAGTTACTAAATTTTTAAAAAGTATACACCTACACTTCTGGTAGGTGTATAACTTGTGTAAATAAGTGTCGTATTAACAAGCACTTATACATATTTGAATATGTGTATATTAATGTTATATGACACCTTAATTAAATACAGATTTACCTTTAATTAGATTGTTAATAGAAGACCAAAGATATTTCGAGATCATTTTAAAGCTTTCCTTATTTCCAATATCTTAATACAACAGTTTTCAATAATATTCTTCTGCTATTATCGATACTTTATGATGACTGAATTACTTTAATATTATGAAAAAAAGAAAATGAGGAAACCTTTGTGATAAGTAGAATGCGGATATTTTATCGAAAATTAATAATTTTAAGAAAAAAGCTCGATATTTGTATATTTGTTTCTCGAACGTAAAAGTGCCTCACGCATCGTGAATATTATTCGAACAAATTGTAAATAAGTACAATTTAGTGCCTTATAAAAGGAATCAGTTAACGTGACTATCATTGTTATTAGTGTCGTGCTCGAAATACGAGTATACAGATACATTCAGCCTGACAGTATTATAAACACTGTATTATCAATGATGTGATTAAGGGTGTATTTTTGTATATTATGTACATCTATTTTTACCAATTAATTTACACACTCTGGATACTTTATACCAAAATATTTTTAAGGATTGTATCGTTACTTAAGATAGTTTAAGGAAATTTATCTGCTGTGCGTTATCGTTGCAATAAATCATCTTTTACATAAAAATTGGATATTTAATGTAGTATCCTATCTGTGTATTATTATCATTTTTATCATGATTATTTTAATTCTTCTATTATTGTTATTATTTTTTTCATATTTTCCTGATCGTTATCATTTTTTTTATTACTATTCTCTAAAATACATAATTACGATTATTTTGAGCAATACTCCCATTATTATCATGATTATTTACGATTATTATAATCATTTTTATCATTAATATCATTTATTATAATACTATCATCTACTATTTCTTTTAAATAGATATTTATAACTCAAACAAATGTAAAACGTTAATAAAATAAAAAAGCACGTACATGTTAGACACGTTATGCAATACTAGGAGACAAGTTTGATAAAATATCAATAAAATAATGTATCCTGGTTGAACAGGTACTTCAGTATTTTGATTTAAATGTTAAACGAAGTAATTTGTCCGAAACAAAATGACACTACACGGTGATTTTCTATTTGGAATAGCGTTTGTTACAGGACGGTATAGTTTTCTAACGCAACAACATGGTTGTGAAATAAATTGCTGAAGATTTAACAGTTTTCAAATTTTTTTAAATATAGAAGTATAAAATTTTCCTAACTTGAAAGTTTAGGAACTTAAAAATATGGAAATACGAAATTTTCAAATTTCTTACCATATTTTTTAATCTTCGCACTTTCAGATTTAAACATTTTACAGTAAATTAAATTAAAAATTTTTTAATTTCACAATTTTGCAAATTTTATACATCGCAATTAAATACCATATTTCTAATTTCTGAATCGAAATATTCAATTCAGAATATAATTCAATAAATTTAGAGGCTTGGGTATTTGAAAACTACTGCACTTTTTAAATTAGTTTGAAAATTTATTAAATTTGTTAGCTTGAAAATTCATATTTTCAAAATTTATAATCGTAATTTGATCATTTGAAAGTTTGGAGATATAGACACATTACCATATTATAATATTATTTAATTATCAAATTATCAAAGTATTAAGTTACTAAATTATCAAATTACCAAGCTATTAATCTTCTAAATCTTCTAAAGTTCTAAATTGTCAAATTGTTATATTACAAACTTTCTAAATTTATGAATTACCAAGTTGCCAAATGACCAGATTACCAAATTATTTAATTTTTAAATCATCAAATTAAAAAATTATCAACTTACGAACCTACCAAATTCTTAAATTCCTAAATTTTAAAGTGAACCATCCTATAATGTAGATGTAATAAGATCTTCTACATCGCCATTTTCCTTAGCGAGATCTACTTCCTTCAGTTTATATTACATAATTTAGTCTTCAAAAAGTTTTACGATTTCACTACTTCGTAGTAAGTACTGTATATATCTGGGTCGTTGGATATTGGGCAAATTTCGAAAACCGCTGTTCTCAAGAGGAAGTATCTGCAGAGTATAGTGTAGAGACACGAGTTCTTGTTGTAGAGCACGATGTCGCGTCAACGTGTCGCCTTTCTAAGGATCTTCCAGTATCGATGTCTCTCGAAACACTTTTGAAACAGCGGGGCGCCAGTTTGCCGACTACTGTTCGATGTCTGGATTTGTCAATGAGCTTCCGTGTAACGATAGGTCTCTTAACAACTTTTCTTTCAAGTTTCCAACTGAAATTGCTCATTGTAATGCTCTAAAGTGCGTGCAGACCGGTCGAATCTTGAAGGCGTTGAGAGCTTAAGGATTGCAACCTTGAAGAAACCATTATGAGATACGGCACCTATGAAAATAAAGGTTCTTAGAAAGAGAAGAATCATTGTTTAACATTTAGAAAAATATTAAACGTAGTGATTTTTACTATTCGTTAATTAATAATCGAATTGTGCAGAATTTACAACGTTTAAAAAGTAGAAGATAAAGGAAATATGAAAATGAGTCGTAAAAAATTGTTGTATTGTACAGGATGAAAGTGAATAGTGGTACAGTAAAATTGCAAACTATAAAATTTTTGAATGATGGAAGAATAAAATAATAATATAATGTAATCATAATGTAATAGAATAGTAAAACGATACAATAATAAAATGATAACATGTAAAAATGATAAAATGATGAAATAGCAGAATTGTAGAATAAAAAAATTGCAAAATTGTAGACTTGTCTAACAGCAAAATAGTAAAATAATAAAATAATAAACTAATGAAGCAGTGAAACTAAAATAATAAAGCAATATTGTTTGCATAAATACGAGAATATAATAAAATTACACTCGCATATTTTAAAATACAGATTTAATTTGATTATCGTATATACATACATATATTACATATCATACAGTATAACTAGCTGAAAATTATTACGAATACATAATCGCGTGTTGGTAATACAATACATAATGATGGCGTATTAATCGTAGCGTGTAAGTTTTAATAATCAAATTTATTGTCTTGCATTTCAACAACACGTTCTCCTACAATAATTCTATCTATAAAAATTGATAAACAATATAAAAATACTTTTAACTTAAAGCTGCATTTGGATCATGAATTCCAACTTTCTTCCAACGAATTATCTTCTTTCGCTCGATAAAAACAAAATAAATCGCTAATAATTATTTTAACCTTTAAATACCATGAAAGGGCCAAATTTAACCTTTTCGAAGTTAAACCTATACTTTTTCTATTTCAAGTCATATAGTAGTATAATTATAAATAATTAAAAATATTACTTATTAATTTTTAATATAAGAATCACCTTATCAATTATACAAAGAAAAATTGTAAAATTTACTTTTTATATACATTAATCATAATGTTCTCGTTCGATTTTTTTATATGTATAACATAGACGAGCAAAATCTCTTATAATACATGAGTATTTACATGTGATTTTGATAAAAGATACATAGACTTAATTTTCACAATTTTTTCAAAATTTTTTGGTATCGTTTAAAATCTTATTTGCTGAACAAGGAGTAAGAATAAAAATAGGGTATGTGAGTTTATTAAACTAACCTCAATCAGATAAAGATTAAGAATATAAACATATAAAATATAAAATTGATATAAATATAATAATAAAATATAAAATATAAAATTTATATAAATATATTGAATATAAATATAATTATAAAATATAATTATAAAATATTGAATATAAATATATTGAAACCGCCAAGGTGGAGGTCATGTATGCATTTGTCAAAGAAAAAGGATTGACCCATAAATTGAACGAATGTTGCCAAAAACGACATAACTTGACCAACTCATGTACATACGTTAAACTACCTGATGGTAATTACGGGTTAAAAATAAATTTTTATATTTTCAAATAAGTTCATTTCTAGAAAGTCAACAACATTTTTCAAAATGATCAAACATTGTACACTGCGAGCTGTTACGAAACCACTTATCATTCTTTAAGGTGCAAATCATTGGAATAATCAATTGCACAACGGAGCTCGGTGAAGAAAGACCGAAGAACAGTTTGTTGGACATTGTCGTGAATATATCGTGGAGGTTCAGTGGAACAGTTAACGGGATTGATTGGCCGATAGATCACGAACGCAAGATTTTTCCGGACGATGCGTACCGCTTTTGAATACGCAATTGCGTTCCGGAATCGAAAACGGTACCGTATGAAGATCCACTTATTCTCCTACACCTGTGTTAATCGATTAAGTAACGAGCAAGAATTTGTTTGATCTACATATCGTTCACACCCGTCCATTTCGACTGCTTACTTTAAGCAAATATCCTAGGTTACGTCTAACAATCACGAGTGGTTAAACCACTTTCCATTTAGTTAAATACGATGTGACCAAATGTGGTACATCTTTAAGTGGTACTTACTTACATTTTTCATCTTTCTTTCCTTTCTCTTTTCAATAGAATTATTTATTTTATTTATGTATGGTATAACATTACATTGTAAATGTAAATATTTTTATTGAGTAATATGAAATAGGTTCAGTCCTTTTTATGAAAAATGATTCGAAATTGAAGAGTTATCATTTTTGTGAAACCGACGTTGTCAGCTTTGAAACTTGCTAAGCATAGAAATTTTGAAAATTAAGAATTTCTAAATTTATAATTAGTATGTTTTTAAATTACCAAATTCTCAAATTTCTAAATTCCAAAACTTCCAAATTACTAAATATTTCCAGATTATATTTACAAATTCTCAGATTTTCAAGTTCCTAAATATCTAACTTCCTACATTTCTTTTCAAAGTATCGAAATTCTTCAATTCCCAAATTTTTAAATCTCTAAATTGTCAAATATTCAAATTTCCAAATTTCTAAATTTCCAAATTTCCAAATTTCCAAATTTCTAAATTTCTAATTCTCCAAATTTCCAAATATTCAAATCCCCACCCTCAAAATTACAAATTTTTAAATATCCAAATTCGTAATTTTACAAGCTATCAACCATTCAACTTTGAAAAATTTCAACTGCTTAACTTCACAAACTTCCAAACCTCCTCATCTTGCTCTTTACTTGTACTTGGCGTACTTCACAAACACTATCAAAAAATTCGTGGTACTCAGTCCACACCCCAATTAATAGGTCCAGTTACATCACTTGTTACTCTACACACTACTTTCCGATCGTGCAAAATTTTTTAACACAGTCTTATACTCTTTCGCGGTATAAAAATACAGATCCACCCAAGCAGCTCATGCCTTCGTTTCATCATAACAGTGATGACGAACCTGTGACTCGCGGGTGACACCGTTAAAAGTTTTTTAAATGACCCACCCATTGATCGTGATAAAAGATCGACTGTTAAGTTCGTTCCAAGTCACTTCTTTCCAAGTGACACTTATCATTAGTGATTTACGGGCTGGTATTAAAAAAAATAATGAATAAAATTTGACCCACTTCTCAAAAAGCTTCGCCCTCACCTAGAACATAACAGGATTATTTTCCGGCACGCAGCACCTTTCATCTCCTCGTCCGTTTTCGTACTTGGGACAATACGGTGGGTGTTTGCTAGTGAAGCAGAAAGACCCCCTCGTTCCTACGGGGGTATGCTGTCCCATGGTTACGTATTCTCCTGCTCTGGCCGCGATTCTAGGTCCGGAAGGGCATCGTCTCGAGCAGGGTTCAGCCATAGGTTGCTTACCATCATTGTCGATACTTTGGGCCATGTAACAGACGACCCAGACATGACTGCAAAGCTGATAATTCTGTTTGTCTTCGCAAAATGGCTGCACCTTGCCGCCGTTCACGCAAAAGTCAACGTGCCCCATGCGACCGCTCTCCCCATAATATCCGGCGTTCGTGTGGATCACTTCGACAAAATCTGCGTCTCCGCTGTCCAAACGATTTACATAGCCGGGTCGCATCAATGGCCTAGCGGGGTCTAAGCCAATTATACGATGCATCCTGAATAATAAGAAGTTCGCCATGATGCCACAGATGTGGGCGCCCAACGAGTGACCCACGCAGGTCGTCCGTGGAATCTGCAGACCTAGGTTTCTCAGCGTGGTCAGAGTGCCCGCCAAGCAACGGGCTACGGGACGTAGGTTCGACACTGCTGCAGGGTAACAGGGTGAAGCACACAGGGCACCCCAGTCTACTAAAAAGACGTTGTAACTTCCATTCCTGAGGTACGCGTCGCGGAGGACAGCTATAGGTAGCGTATCATCACCGCCTGAAAATTGAAAAATTTATAGGTTGTGATTAATGATTTGACCTTTTAGGGATGTTGATGTACTTCTTCATGGATTTTGAGGGGATTTCGTTGACACTTTAGCCGAAAATCAAATCAGATCAAATCAGATCAGTTCAAATCGAATAAAAAATTTCAAACAGAAATTGAGTATCTAAATTTAATCAAATTTGCAAGAAAACTATTGTTACCGTTTCCATTTTCATATATAGCTGAATGTGGATTCAGTATCATTAATAGTTTGATGTTAAGAAACCAAATCGGCTACATATAATACAACGGGGAAACTGAAACATAAAATGTCTTTGCAACTTCCATCAAGCGCAAAGATCTCACTAATACATATATAAGTAATAAATAATTATTAATAATTAAAACAATCTAGAAAAGCTTTTCGTACAAATTATTCGTACTTGAATTTCAGTTTTCCATTACGTGTTTTGAAAACTTACTTACAGCGATTCCTCGATAATTTCATGCTACAACAAAGATTGAGAAGAGATCTGCTTTAACGTACGATTTTCTCGGGAAATGTATCAATCAAAACTAACTAATTATTGCTACAATGTTAAGACAAATAAGGAAAGTTGTAATATTAGGTATATTTTGGATTTAGGGGTAGTTCACCATGTAGATTATAAGTGGAATTAAATTTCAGACTTAACCGTGCTGCAAATATGATTTTGTTTTGTTGTATCTGAACTGTAACATGAAAGGATTAATCATTTCCCTAATTATTTTGTTATCTCGTATGCAGGGTTTTTATCTATAAATGCAAGTATTTCGAATATCTCATACTAGAAGAACATTATTTATTTACTTACTTAACATTATAATGTTATAATCAGTAAATGATAACGATTTGATGAAATGAGAAATAAATTTGATTAAAACGAAATAAATGAATAAGAAAAGTTTCATCATAAAAATATAAAAAATCACTCTTATAGAGTGGTTTTACGACCTTCATATTGTTAAAATTGCAGCTTGTGTGGCTACAAGTACGTTCAATGACAGAGGTAATATGTATTTACACGACATGAAAACCACGGACGCTGTTATTGCTTATAAAGTCTATAATTATTCAAGCAGTTAAGACTACATGACAAATTTTGCAAGAAATTAATCATATTTAAATACAATATAGCAAAGTAGTATCAAATTAGTATATACACAAAAAAGGAACAACTATATTAATTAGTACAAATAAAACTCTTTTAGTGTTGATTTTCTAAAAATCACGTATTATTCATAATTATCAAAATTATCATAATTCAACATCTGAATTATAATAAACATATCAAATTATTCGCTTAAGTAATAGGCAAATTGTTCTCAACAATTTTATACACAGTACTTTAATACTGATAATACAAAAGAACCTTGATAAAATTGTCCACGATTAAAATAACTGTGAGTAGTAGTAGTATTCTCTACTAGAGAATGACTACTAGGGAAGGAAATGTTTTTGAACATTTCATGCCGTAAACCTGGACAAAAATCTACCTGCATATCCGTGAATCAGTAGCACATTTTCCTTGGTTGGATCATAATCCTGTCTTAGCCAATCGGACTCCCTGGAATCTAATTCTCTTCTGGGCCGATTATTCGCGTAAAGGTATACCCGTATATCAGGATCGGGACAGGAGTCCCTGTCATTTCCGCGTCTCCACACACACAACTCCCGGTTATATTGCGATGCAGCACCGTTCTGGATCGCCTCCTGGATCGGTCCTATAGCGGCCCTTTTGGTCCATCCATGAGCCATCAGTAAATCATTCCTTACGGTCCATCCGTGAACCATCAGATGTATAGCGAAGAAAATCAACGATGATGTGAACATAGACATTTTGTGTTACGGAGACGTTCGTCGTAGTTGAGCGATACGAGAACTGATCGTGTGCACGGTGACTCTTCGAGTGTCACTTTGTCCTTCGTCGAGCTCCCACCTTTTTCACCTGTCGGCCGTTAGAAAATTCGGGATTTCAAGGGTAGAAGGGGACCGAGATCTACCAGTGACCATGAACAAGCGATAAAGGTGAATGAAACGTAAGGTCATCAAGCTCCATGTGTTTTGTATCGACCGCTTTCGATATGAATGATTGGCCGTACACCTCAAACGATTGCTTATTTCCGATATTAACATCGATTGAATTTAGGCTGACACGAGGAGAAACTTGTTCTTTGGGAAAACATGTTTTAGAAGCGAGGATTACTATCGTGAGGATAAGGAAATGTCGCGACATGATTTAACTATCTATAAAAATTATCTGTAAGTTCGCCTCGTAAATAATTACCTCTCTTGCGATTAGTACAGAATACATTGATTATTACTACTGTAGAAGTTAAAAATGCGGACACATTATTTGCTACTGTTATTTGTTATTTTATTAATTAAATTAAAGTTTATTCTTATGATGGTCAATAACTGCTGCCAATTAATGTCTAGATATTGTGCACTTTGATATTTTTGAGAAAAACAAAATCAAAGATTAAATGATACCTTATATTACATTTAACAGATCATTTTCTAATGTTTCTACACATATTATATTACATAGATAATTCTTTAACGTTTTCATATTATTTTTAATTACATTAAATACTGTAATAAATAAATAATTTTATTAATTGATATTATTTAACAAATAATTCAAACAATTCTAAATGACAATTAAAATTTTCGAATTCAATTTATAATTAGAATATAAATCTAAAACCTTAAATTTTCATTTAAAACTAAATTTATTGTATTATGTGCATAAATGGTATAACTATAACTAGAAGTATCAGTATGAAGTACATGATAAATTCTTGTATTTGCACCTAATAATATAAATCAATAAATATGTAATAGTAAACATTGACATAAATTATTTATATTAATATTTCAAATTCGAGCTATACTCATATGTAAACGCAAGATTAAATTGTAATTTTAAACCATTTAATACAAAATCTATTTAATGAATATATCTTGTAAATTTAATTAATATATTTATTATATATTTATTCCTTGTTTGCATATGAAGTTATCAGTTATTGATCAGCAAAATAATTTAAAACCACTAAAAGTATAGTTACTACACTTTTGTGCAACTATGATAATAGACTAAGAGATTTCGAATAAATAAAAATAATATTTTTAAGAAATTTGTATATTATTTGTTACGCACCAAATTATTTATCATACGTGTACGTACAATATTTGTGTACTAATAAAAAGCTATCAGAATTGAAGTAACTAATAATAAACCATCTATGTTAAAGTAATTAAATAACTGTTCCATAATCTACATTCATCTCTTCATTATTAAGTAATCTGATAAGACGTGAGAATTAATTATTAAAGTGAATGTAAATAGTTATAATGGTACATGAAACTTATAGAAATGTAGAGCAATCGAGAGATTTTTATCTAGAGCAGCAATCATGTTCTGATCCGGATTTATATGAGGAAAGAGTATTTTATGGAAAGTTGCGAAAGTGTATCAGGATGCGTCTGGAAACTTCAATAAGTGAAAATTTGGCAGCAAACTTTTGTCAATGTCGCAATATTTCTTTATCTGTTATCAGTAACGAAAACTAATGAAAAAGTAAACAAGTGTGCACAGTAAGTGATCACTTTCTCTTCTCCGCAAAATATGGTATTTCCTAGAAGTTCTAATATTGAAATTTCAAGTACTTCGATCATTATGTAAGTCAAATTACACAAGTACGTTTTTTCACTTTCCAACATTCTTAATCTGTTTTTTGTGACACGTTAAAAAAAAACAATACATATATATACATATAAATGATATAAGAAAAAGAAAATAATGAAATAGGAGGAAAGAAAATGAGAAAATCTGAAAATAAGTTAAGACAAAAACAAAATAAAGAAATCTGGAAATCTGAAAATGGTACATTTTATAAATAATTTTTTGAAACGAAGGAACGAAAGATTCTAACCAAAAGAAAGAATTGCGAATAAAGACGAATCATTTTACACCTTCGCTTTATAATAAAGAACGTAATAATTATTTTAAACACAATAGACTCTTTCAATTCTTGCTGAAAATGACGTAAACATTATTATGTACATCTTTCAGTCGGTACATTTTCATTTACCCGATAATATGTGTAACGTACATAAGTACTTATTTCAGTATTTTAAGTCAATAGGCCAGAGACTACTTGTACGCATACATTATTAACTGTAATTATGATTAAGATGTGCTGGAATTGCAAATATAGCAAATACTAAGCATTTACATATTCTGAATAAATAGTTAGGCGAATGTTTCTGTAAATAAAAAATCAAAACTCACACAATTAGTAAAAGCAAGAATTGGAAAGTGCTGATTCAAAATATGTTATACTACATTTTTTAAAAACGACAGATAATAAGACATTTACATGATGAATGTGATTTAATTATTTTGTTTAAGATAATTGATAAAGCATTGCGACACGTTTGCAATTAGACGTTAGGTAGATATTGATTACATAATTTCTCTATTCTTTTTGCTAGACGTACGAATTGTTGCAAAATTTGTATAAAAAGTGAAACATGGAGATTCTTGATTATTTCAGGAGAAAGTTCAAAAAATTTGTTTAGTGGGCGAAGTGAAAGTATACGAATTGTGGGTGCGTGAAAAGTTTTAGGGCAGCGAAACTCGTTTTCTTTTCACAAAATATCTCCGTTAATATCATTTGCTCGCTTTTTGCTGGAACTACACGCGTAAATTCAAAATTATTGTAGTATAAGCCTATAGTACAATCTTACTAATAAATTTGAATAACTTTAAAAAGTATATTTGAAAATATATCTCTCGATAATGTCACTTTAGATATTATCGATACAAAATATCATATGTGGATAAAACGAAAAACTATAACAAATGATTGATAAGTAATTTAAATGAAAATGAAATGAAAAAAAAAATAAGACGAAAGTTTGGAAAACTGTCATGCTCTGATATTGATCAAATTTTGTAAATAAACTTTTTTTTTGCAAAAAAAACATGTGAAAATGGTTTTTAGCGACTTGAAAGAAAATGTTTTACCATTCTTACGTCATTTTCTGCATTAGCAAAGTACAATACAATGAGCGAAGTGTTCCAAATACAAAATTTGGGTAAAACTGTAAAATTACTCCGTCACCTCAAAAAAAATATTCGGGACATGTTTTCAATGTATTTTTGCCTCCTGAATACGAATATGATCATAAAAATCGGCGGTCGGACATATCTGAGCTGCTATTTTGGAAAAACAGCAGAAAATCGTGATTTCTTAGAGTTTTTTGTATTCATTTTGAAAAATTCTCATCTGATAAAAAAATGTTTCCAACAAAAAATGTAGAATGGAAAATTCTCTACAAGAAAGTTCTGATACATTTTTTTTTGTAATTGTAACGGTAAGGCTGCAAATGAACGACGAAAGTGTCAAAAATTACCTTCCGAATGGAAAAAATAATACGAGGTGTGACACAAAAGTAACGAGACTAGGTCTGTAACTTGAAAAAACAATGGAATTGGCAGCAATTGTTTTTGTGGCATCATCCCACATACCTCCTCTATCCATGTTGCGACGAACTGTTTAAAAGAATTCATTTGTTCAGTGCATCTACTGAAACTGTACATAGCTTGCAAGAACATTCTGGCCGCTTGATTTTTCTTCAAAGCTCGACACTGTCAACTGTTATAACTCGGTATCGTTAACTTGTCTACCATGAGCAACGAATACACACGAACAAACTTGCATTAACTGTTTCACCATCCTCTTATTTGGAATAATGCAAAAATGAAAGCACACTAAACAAAATGATTAGAAACAAACAGAAAAATTAAAAAAAAAATATTGACATAATCAGAACCATGTTATTCGAAATCAAGCTGGCGCCCTACCGCCTTCCACGCCCCTCGGAGCGCTCAGGCGGTAGGGCGCGCGCTTTAGCGAACCTAACCATTCGAAAGGTAATTTTTGACACTTTCGTCGTTCATTTGCAGCCTTACCGTTAGAATTACAAAAAAAAATGTATCAGAACTTTCTTGTAGAGAATTTTCCATTCTACATTTTTTGTTGGAAACATTTTTTCATCAGATGAGAATTTTTCAAAATAAATACAAAAAACTCTAAGAAATCACGATTTTCTGCTGTTTTTCCAAAATAGCAGCTCAGATATGTCCGACCGCCGATTTTTATGATCATATTCGTATTCAGGAGGCAAAAATACATCGAAAACATGTCCCGAATATTTTTTTTGAGGTGACGGAGTAATTCTACAGTTTTACCGACAACTTATACATTAACAGTATTTTTTACATGTCAAAAAAAATATTTAAAAATTGGCTATTCTTCGGAAAACTAATAGTAGTTCACGTAGTTTCATTGAATACTGTTTATGTATTGTATGCTATCTATGCGGAAATACTGTTTGCGTATAAGCGTCGCTTTCTGGGTCTACGAAATTAGTGCTATGGTTTATAGTGTTGTGAACACAGCCATATTTATTTAAATTTATGTAACCATTCCAACAATCCGTATGTATTTCCATATATATCCATATAATACGCTTATTAGTAACGAAACGCAATGAACTACGAGTTATATTGTAATTCTAGTACTCTTGATACATTGACACTTTTTAAAAAATAATTAATAATAGCAAATTTCATAGCATCAGAATTGCCTCCAAATTTACCTCAAGTATTCCTGCCGGGAATAATTGCGTCGGTAAAGTAGGGAGTGATAATCCTATAAAAGAAACTCATTCCCAAAATTTCAGCCAGTTTGGAGCATGGAGATTTTTGGAAGTACAGACCAATAATATTTGGGAAATAAATCATAAAATTAGAATAGTAATCGAAACAAATGGAAAATAAAAAAATTTTTGCAAGTACAAACTTACTTTTAACAGTAAACTTTACGTTTTAGAAAGATAATTCTGAAAACTATATCAAAACATAATTTAATATTCTTTATAATTCAATTTTACATTGAAGTTTACATTCATAATGGAAGAAGAGTAATTAATTAATATATAAAGTTTGTATAAAAAACAATAGTTTAATGAAATATAATTAATTTAGAAAATTGAAAGCATTCCAAAAGCCTCTCTCAAATATACATTTTATATTGTCGAGCGCTGTACAGGTTTCATAAACAATACGTAACCGAAAATCCTGGTCGGTAACGAATGAGCGCTATGTTATCAATCGTGCAAGATTCAAGCACTTTTGTGGTTGAACCGAGTATTTGGTAGTCTTCAAGCGATCATCTTAGCAACAACAGTATTCTTACACGTTTGTTACTATTTGTGTTGAATACGACCAAGTTAAAAAAAGTGCCTTACACTAACTGACACAACACCTTGTGCAATCAGTGTAATACCAACCGAAAATCAATTATTTGTAAAACTTTATTAATTTTAAATCTGTACTTTGTACAAACTTTAATTTTCCTCGAACCCCAGAACATGGAGTAAACCAGAGACGACACTCACTCTCC